CTCGAGCCAAACACACACCGACCCCCCCTCACACCGACCCCCCTCACACCGACGCCCCTCACACACCCACCGCGCTCCCCCCCAGACCCTCCAGTCCCCGCCGCACCGCGCGAGGGTCCGCAGCGCCCCCTGCCGGCGCGGAGCAAATTCCGGCGAGCTCTGAGGGTGCCCCGGGCCCGGCCGATATAAAATAAAAAAATACAAAATACAGCCACCCACGGGACAGTCCAGCCCTGTGCAGAAAACCCAACAGGAAAATATGTTCACCTGCCCCAGTTCTTTCCCAATAGTTCTCTGCTTCTACACTCCCCATGCCAGGAAGGACTGGCATGCCAATTTGGACTACTCTGGATTATGAAAAGGTCTCTAAAAATCCAGTATTTTCCCTTGAAAATGCCTCACAACAGAGTTTTCTGCCACAAAGAAACCCAAATCGGAAACTTTTGCCGTTTCCAAGTGCAGCAGTGTTGCAGAAACACGTGCACCTCCCAAGAAATGAGCCCAAGGCTCCCCACCTGCTCTATAGGTGGGACTGGTGAAATGTGAGGAAGGACCGACAGCGCTGAACAGCCTGTGCCTTTCATCAAGGCTGCTTTGTACTCCCTTCTGTGATGACTAGTGTGATGACCTGAAAAATTAAGTAAAGCAGATTTTATTCTGCTTTCATCCAGATCATAATTTCTTATTAGAGGTGAACAGATTATTTAGGATACCTTGGGATAGCGCAAGAAGGGTACAGAAAAAGTTCCAGCCTTGCTGCTTCTTTCCTTATACTGTCTGCTTTCATAATTTCAGTTTTAAAAATAAACTATAATTGCGTAGTTAGTTCCATTACATTTTTTGTGAAAGAAACCTTATTTCAAGATCAGGTCTCTGCTCCTCTGTTTGTGGCTGTGTTATCCAAAATTCAATTCCCATAAGATATCGATGTGCTGGACTTCCAAGCTCCAGTCATGCTAGACTTACTTTCCTTCACATCAAACAGAGTGAAGCTTCAGTTTTGTAATTCTGTAGTGCTGAGAGGACAGGAGAATTAAGAAACAGTTTGTCAAGCTTCACTTGGAAAATACACCCTCACTACAGTGGGCCAGTCCAGCAGGGCCAAAGAGCAAGAGGGTTTTCCCCCCTCAAATTGGTGGAACCTATACTACAAAGCAGCAGTGTTTTGGCAGCTGTGATCCTGTGCTCAAGAATTTTTAGACCACTTGCCAATTCTGTACCAAAATAAAATACATCCAGAAGGGCCTAAGGACCTGCCATCTGCATTACACAGACGTATGTGTTCAGGTACACACGCACACTCACCTATGCACTTCAGCCCACCACAGAACAAGAAAATTTAAGTCAGAACCTCTTGCAGATGTTACCTAACATTGAAAGAAATTCAGAGGATAGAAATACCGAAATATGTCTATGAGGTTACAGAGAAACATGTGTGACGTACTACATCACAGTTCACACACAGTGAGCAGAAGAAGCATCTTCAAAAAGAAAGTTAACAGCAAGTGCCCAAATATGGATATTTTTTTCCTTTGGTCAGCTTAGTCTCCAAACAGGCCATTTTCAGTAAACACTAAAATGCAGAGTATAAATAAGGCAATGCAAGCTAGTTGTCAGGAAAAAATCGTCTTATTGCATATATGATCTCACAAGGCATCTATTTTGGTATGCAAAATAGATCTAATAATCATGTTATGAAGCTGAATAATCAGCTAAAATGTTAGATTTTGACAGTAAACTTCTTAGGTGTTAATAAGGACAGATATCTGCTAAACCAGCAGTGACAGCAAAGCAGAAACTCCCAAGCCCCTACATGCTAGACCCTACTAGAAAAGTAAATAGCAGTGCATATATTCTTTTCTCTCATACCAGCTGACATGTATAACATTAAAACAAGATGTTAAGTTAAAAATGCTAGTAAAATTCAAGGAAGAGCTGGATATTTACACAATAACAAGGTCATCTGCAATTATAGTGTCAATACAAAATCATTTTACTGCACACCTCTCTTCTTGCAAACTAAATTCAAGCCAAAAATCAGAAGTTATATCCTCTGAAAAAGTCCCTCATAGAAATGCTACTGGTAACTCTCACCTTTTCTGAAATTTCTGGTTTTGCCAACTGTCACAATACTTGACTAATGTAACAGTTTGTGCTTACTTGCCATAAAGGACTTAAAACGGGAAAGAACTGTTGCATTATAGATTATATTTCATCCTTGCTATTTTACAGAGAAGGTAGATAATTTTGAGGGGTGGTTTTGATTGGTTATATTATGTCTTATTTTTACTTTTTTAAAAAAGTTTTCTTGCAACTTGTACTTCATGAGCCATCCATCAGTTTACACCAAGAGGAGTTATTTCTTCTGATAATGAAGGATAATCTTTTATGATGGGTTCAAACACTTACTGCTTAGAATTTTCTCAGTAACTTATTTGGACTACTTGTTATTTTAAACTGAGGCTCTTGAAAGAAAGTCTATTACCACAAATAAAAACTTTGAAAAGTTTTCCCACAAAATAGTAATTTTGGTAGAAACTAAATCAGTTTCTTGCAAATCAAATTCCCAGTTTTCACAGTGCAATTCACATTGACTTCCCTCACCCATGGATTCAGGGCCTTGTACCTTTGTTTGGTATGAGCTGTTTTTTTGCTTTGCATGATGACGTGTGCACTGTCCCCTGGAGGAAATGCCTTTGACATTTTGGTAGAGGAAAGTGTGTCTAAGTGACAACTTCAAATCTGAGTAAAGGCAATAAGCTGTGGGCAAGTTGCCCAACTTGAATATGACGCACTTCATGATGGCTCTAAGAGGCTGAGTCTTCCTTGAGAAAAGACAAAGGACAGAAGTTGCTTGTGAAGAGTGCTTCATTAGCTTTCTTTGGAGGATGCTTAGAGTGAATATTGATAACACCATTGTCATTGATAGTTCACTGAAGGAGAAGCATTTGTACAGAGCATCCAGCACCAACAGTGAGATCATGCATCAAATCAGACCTAATTACTGTCTCCAGTTTTGGAATGAAGAGCTGCATGACTCAGATGAGGAGCAAGAATTCCTCTCTTGCTACTTATTTCTCTCTTAGGGAAGCACAGATAAAGAGAAGTATAAAATGTATTAGGTTAATTTTGTAGAGAAATTCTTTTGTCATCAATACTCAGTTCAGCAAAGAGAAGTCCAGAGAAACAGGATCTGTAGTTCAGACACCTGCAGCATGTGTTCTGTAAAGCAAGACTAACCCTCTCTGTGCACATAGGGCAGTTTAGAAAAGTTTAGGCTGGCAGGACCTCTTCAGGACTGTGGCATGATAGACCCACCCTGATAAGACCTAAAATCCAATCCAGCTATCATGCAAGCTATCATGCAGGATCAACTGTTGGAGTCAGGGTGTTGTCTTGGGTGTTAATTTCACACCTCTCCCACATCCCAGTCTGCACTCAAATCAGGGCACTTACATGGGGATGGTCAGGGCCTTGTCACGCTTAGTTTTCAAATTCTGTCCCATTCCATCCTTGAAGCTATTCAAACCTGAACAGACACACTTCTGGACAAACTGTTTTGGCTGATCCTGCTTTGAGCAGGTGGATTAGACTGGATGATTTCCAGAGGTGCCTTCTGACCTCAACTGCTCTTTCAGAGGCCACTGTGTTTCTGGACAACCTGTTAACCATGTCCATTTGGGATGTGCTCTCTTTGAATTAGACCTGCAGCAAAAATACATCTGTTCTATATGACCAATGTAGCTAATCTGAAATTAGTCCTGGAAGCCACTGAATGTACAATATAAAAATTAATCTTCAACAGGAAATGTTAATAAAGGAAAAAAATGAGAAGCAGATAAGTTTACACCTTTTGCAACTTAAAATTATCACAAAATTCAGCATAGGGAAAGAACTTTAGTAATATTAGCTAGATTTCATAGTATTTTGAAGAGCATTTCAAGACAAAAACATTTCATTAGAGAAAAGTAACGAACCTTAATTTGTTACGAACAGGCATTATCTTCTCACCATCTAAAGGAAAGAAAAGAGCCATAAACTTATTTTTTTTTTATTTTCAAGGCTCTGTACAGTTAGATATGACATTTCATAGAGAATGAAGTTGAGGGACCAGTCAGTCAGTCCTCGCTCTTTGATATGAAAAATGAAATTGTAAGTAGAGAAGACAAAATATGCTAGATGGAGGGAAATAAGCTTTAAAGTGATGAGATTACCTAAGGCAGCTACTGTATTAGCATTAAGTAAAAGCAAAAGGCAAACAGAAAAAACATTGCTAGAACTCTCAGAATTAAATAGTTAGTTCCAACTGAAAGAGAAGTGAAATGGAAAAGGGTCTCCCAGTCTACTGATGGACCTGTGTTTAATATCAGCCAAAGTAGTTTATATGTACCAAGCAAGTCTCCAGATGGAAGTTGTACTTTCTCTGCCAAGACAGTTCTCTGGGGCAACACTGGATGAGGTCTTCTCAAATAAATAGATGTGAGATGCTGCAAGGGGGGCAGAACAAACAAAAAAATTGATTTCCCCTAATACTATCTTTGTAAATTAACTAGATGTTTTAACTCCCTTTTTCTTTTACTTTTTCTGGCACAAGAGCCCCAAATACAACACAACACATTCATCTATCTCACAAAAGGAAAAAAAAAAAGTTCATTTCATATCAGATGCTTTGCGTCAAGCCTGCTAAGGCTCATAAATCAGCTGTCTTATTGCCCTGGTCATTTCAACCAAGTCTGACCCTTTTGTTAACTCATGATTTATAACTCGAAGTTACTTTTTTTTAAATGCCAGATTTATAAACTTTACTGTGCTTGGTTTGATATAATATCCATTTTGTACACCAAGCTATAAGACAGTAAATTTATTGTCTATGAACTGTTACCTTGAAAAATTACATCAATGCAAAGTGGTTCCCACTTAGAATCAATGGGCAATAAATTCATTGGAATTTTTTTTGAAGGGGGGAGAGAACATGATATTTATGAAGTCATGAGCGGGTATATAATGGGAGAAACTGGCAGCAGAGGCAACACTCAGACAGGAGTTCTGAGTTACAGGGGTAGGCAAAGACAAAACATATTCAACACAGCAATGATGCATAAGCTGATATTCTGCTGTCTCATTATTGTCAGCTTCTCCTGTCCTCTCTCGTCTCTCCCCATCATCAACACCAGTGAGATGTCTTATCAACTCTCAGGTAAGAGTCTTCTGATTTTAATGATTATAAAGCAGGGGCAGGAACAATAAAAGCAGAAAAGAGGCAGGTGTGCTTTCCGAGGGGGGCCTTGATTTGTGCTGATCAGCTGTATTAAAAACAGGAATGCCCTCAGAACCAGTAGTGCAAGTGATATATCAGTGGGTGCCAATCTTGTAAAATGGGGAGGTTGGGTGCCCTAAATATTTATCCCTGCTGCTTTGAGATTCAGGAAACAAAAGTATGTATCCAGCACTGAATGTGAGCTGGTATTTAGTGTCTGAGCATCTGTAGGCGTTGGGTAACTTAAAGAAACTTGGCTATTTAGCTTCTCCTCTTCCTACCCTTTGAAGCGAGCTATGTTGTACTTAAAAAGGGGGAAACCAACCACAAACATCAAGAACAGGCAAGTCTGTCTTACACTCCTGTGTATTGAGCATGCAATTTGTTTGCACTAATTCAGATCCCATTTAGCCCAGGGAAAGGATAAATCTTTGCTTGGAAAAGCTATCTTCAAAGTTTGAAATGGCTAGGTAAAAATGCACAGCAGAGTCTGGAAGGTTATTGTCACCAGACCTGACTTGTACTGGAAGACTTTCTGAAATGTGTTCTGAAAGAACAGGCAAATCAAACCCAAAGTTATTGCTTAAAGCTGACTACTAAAAAGTCACTGTTCTTACCAGCTTTGCTGGTGCACCAGCTGTTGTGTGCTGGTTAATAGGTATCAGTAGTCCCTAGTTTGCTTTGAAAATCTTGGACTCACTAAGCCAGCATCTTCTTAAGCTTTCCACTATGTAACCTGCACTTACAGGTAACCCTGATTCAGTATGTTCACAGAGTGAACAAGCTGGCTCTAACCATTATTGCATTTGCTCGAAGACATCCACTAGGCTTCTTAAATCTTCCTTACTAATATAAAGAGTCTCCAGGATTGATAAAATAGAAGAGGAACTGTTTTGAAGAGGATTGGTTTGGGGCTTTTGTTTGTTTGTTTGTTTGTCTTTAATCTCAAAGCAAATTTACCCACTAACACTGCTCTGATTTAAAGAATAATCCAAAGCCTGAGATATGAATTGTCTCCACACAGTACAGGAAAGTTACTGTATTCTTATTCTGAGTCTTACAATAAAAACCCCACTTTGCAGTTGTCCTTTTATGCAGTGAACAAATAATTAACATAGATGTCCAAGGTCTTCAAGTTCTTGATCTTTGTCCAAGTTTCTGAAATGTTGGGGGATTATTTTCAGCAGTTTATTTTCTTATATATTCCCTGTTGAGGAGCTATACAGTCATACCCATCCCTGCAGTTCAGAGCAACTGAAACTCCATAGTGTCAGCTAGGCATGCAACTACAAAATGACAGTCACATACACAACTAATGTTTGATAACCACAATTTTGAATGTCTGCTTTATATTAGCAAAGATGAAATTTACTGGTCAGATTACAAAAGTTACCTCAAGTGTAGCTCTGCTAGTGGCTTCTGTTGGCCACCTGCCATGGGGCATAGGCTGGCCACAGAATTTTAAATTCTCTATGCATATACAAATTAATTCTATCAGCTACCAGCAAAAGTTTCAGAAAAAGTAATAACATTTGTACTGGTATGCACATTAACTGAGAGAGGACTGATACACACTGAGAGGCTTAGCTGCCAAAATAAATCGTAAGATTTCCTACATTTATTCCTGCCTTTCCCCCTCCTTTTATTGCATTTAATAGTTGGAAAACTGAGCAAGTTAATAGCTCTTGAAGTTTTGTCTTTATTCATAGAAAAGCTCCAGCATAGGAACTAGTTGATAAAGAAATGGAGTTAAAATAAGAAAAAAAAATATATACAAGTCTCCATGCATACAGCTGAGTACTGAAAGGATTAGGATGAGTTCCTCAAGCAATGAGAGGGGCTGCTGTTGGTCAAAAAACTTTCCTAAGAAAACATCTGACAGAGAAATCTGAGATTAACATCAGGAAGGTACCTTTTCTCAAAGCTTTGGAAGGAAAAAAAACACAAAACCAACTATCCCCTATCATAATCATTAAATGAGGATGAATGATTGGTGCTTTTAAGAAAATTTTTAACAGATGGGGCCAACAGACCTGATCAGAAATCACCTGAGACAGACTGAAACAGGAATTCAAAGCAAAATACTCACCATATGCCTGTGTCTATCATATTCCATTTGCAGCTGATGAAGACTCAAGATTAAACCTGGAGAGGCTGGGCAGCCCAGGAAGCACTTCTCTGATTCAGTTTCTGCCAGAGCTCTTGGGCACACTGACTGAAGACAACAAAGCAGGTGAGGATTTATCACAGCAATGGGAGAGTGCCCATGGTTTGCATCTCCAGCTTCCACAGATATTGTGCCCCAACTCCCAGGTATTTACTGAAATACAACATTATGCGTAGGCAACAGACTGCTGTCATTTAGTTAACTGGGACCTTGGGGAAACCCACTGAGCAACCATGCCTGCAGTTCAACACTACCTGATAAAGCCTCCAAAGGAGTTTAGCAAAACCTCCATATAGCAAAACCAGGGCAAGGCAAAGATTGGCCTTAAAGGAGCTGGCAGACAAAACGAAATAGCAGTCTTATGTAACATCAATACTGCAGAAAGTGCAGGATCAATAGCAGTGGATGGTTTGGGGAGCAACAGATGTTACTGCCTGGTCCTCTGAACATTCCAGTTCAAGAGTTCTGCCAGCTATAGCATTATGGCACATGAGAAGTATTTGTCTAAGTTTACAATTTCTAAATGGTAAAACATTTCATTATGTTTCCCCTCTTCCAGGTCTTACTCCCAGCAACTACAACCCAGGGGAATATATCAAAGCAGTAAGTAAATTACCATCTGTCACTGAAACAATAAAAATAAGATTCTACAATTTAAACTACACAGAATTGTTACCAAGACATCATTTCAGATCCACAGACTTCATAAACAGTATAGACTAAAGTAGCATGCCACAGTGTTCTTGAAGCTGGAATCACCTAGCAGTTAAGATAGGCAGGGGAGGGGGGAAAAGTAGAAAAAGAAAAGGAAAATAGAGAGAGCAGATAATCCAGAGCACTTCATTCTAAACCCTCCACCTTTTTTTCCCCCAGAAAAACAGTCTTCTAAGTAAAGACCAATTTTCAGCTTCATTAGCCCCAGGCACCAGTATTAGCTGCATGTCATTTCCCTCCCCACACACACTACAGCATAGGCTACGCAGTAGTATTATCAGATGTGTTATAAACCATTAGGTACATGGAGAACATCATCCCTGTTCACTTCCTGCTGAATTAAATACAAATGCAGAAGACAGTGACTCATTTTAGTGCATCATCTAAATCAGAGGGTACACTGGGCAGCTGCCTCTCCTTCTCCCAGTCACAACACAGGGCTGGGTGATCAGTCAGGGCAGTGAAGAGTGTACTTTCCCACTGGGAACAGGTACCATCCAACAGTAACCTCTCTAATGCTGTTTGACTTCAGACTTTCTACGGAAATCATCCTCGAATTGCTTTGCTGGGACGCTTCTTGACCAAGGACAGGAAACAGTACAAGAAACGTGGGAATCTTTCCGAGTGCTTCTGGAAATATTGTGTGTAAACAGGAAACCTCCTGACGGGTTGCATAATTTATACAGATGTCTGAAAACATGTATATACATTTGCTTGATTTAAAATGAGAATGAAGAAACATGAAGGCAGCGCCTAACTTTAGACTCTACGCTACTTGGAAATGAATAAATTCTTGATATTTTGCAATTATGCTGTGACCAATGTAGTATTTTCTTAGAGCTGAGCACAACAGGAAGAAATTAATGGGACAAAGAGATAAATATACAACACAAAGAATTTGGGCAGGGGAAGCAAGATTTCCATGAGGTCCTATGAAACCTCCCAGAAGAGTAATGCCTCAACTGTGTCTAAGTCCAGAGGCAAGAGGACTTTCTCCTTTGTTACTTGATGTAGACTGGGGTGTCAGAAAGAAAGGGTCATTGCTGCATTCCCTGATGAGCTGGTGAGGGATTAACAGTGCCCAGACCCATCCTGCCATCCCCAAGGCACTACAAAACCAATAAGCACACGTCAGGATCAAGCATCCACTCTCACTACTGCTGGATACAAGTTTCTCTTGTTCACTCAAGAGACCCACAAATCTATTTCTTTGCAGCACCTTGCCTAGCCCCCAGCTACCCATGACAACAGGGCTGTCTGTGCATAGCGTGGGCTTTAAGAATTGTGTCTGGTTATCATCAAGCAGAAGGTACCCATGGCTGTCAATGTCAAGGCTTGCATCCAGATTTGGACAGCCAGTGGAGGCAGGAATGACACCATTTAAAAGATTCTGTGGCTGTGACCCGCACTTATGTGGCTGCACACACAGATGCAGGAAGGTGACACATGGATGTAGACAATATGTGTTACTAAGGCAAGCCACCTCCTGCTTGAGCACTCAAGGGCAGTGAGATTTGTTCCCTTGAGCTACCACTCACTGACAATGTTGTTGTATTTTGGCATGTAATGTAAATAAGGGAGAGGAAAAAATAGCAGCTGCCAAATTCTTCTAGTCTGAAGACTCATATGCATAGTCTCATAGACTGACAGACTCAGACGAGTCTACTCATATGCAGAGTACCACCATACTTTCTCAATCCTGGGTACCCTCCTGATAATATCTGGAAGGAATAGAGCTAAACAGTCAGGAGTTGTCTCTGGGTGATGCCAATCTTGATAATATGCACAAACTGTCTGAGCTCTGAACCCTACCTTGCTCAATACATATTTTGCACAAATCTCATGCCTATCAAGGTTCACAGAAATCGTGAAGTAAACTCCCCTAACAGTCATACACAGGCTACATTGATCTCAACAGTATACATCATAAATCTCTGACTTTGCTATTTAAACAAAGCCTACAGGCTTGAAGCAGCCTGTTCACTTCACATAAAGTACAAGACAGATGATGCCAGCTGTAACAGAAAAATGTCCTCAGAAAGTCAGGGCAGCTGGATGCCCTGTGCAGCTATTTGTAATCTTCTGAACATTCATCCTTCTCTTACACAATGGAGCAAGTCAGTGCCTGTCTGGAAATTACTCTTTTTCTGCTACCTCATCAGCCAATAAAAACTTGTAGGAGAAGACTACAAGACACATATATTTTCAAACATTGACAAAGCAGGAGCATAGGTGGGCTGACATTGCTTAGATCTCTGAATAAAAACATAGAACCACTTTTTCATTTCACAAGCCTATTCACTTTTCCTCATTTTTTTGACCAAAAATAACTAGATGATTTGACTCACATTTTTAAGTATGCTTAGAATGATCAAATCACCCTTTAAAAAAAAAAAATCAATAAACCATCAGCAATGATATATCCAATGATATATCTTCAAGATGCCTGTGTTTCAAGGAACCGCATCACTTATCTTATCAGAAGCACCTTCAGTTACATGCTCATCTAAAATTACTTCTTTCTTTACCAATTCCAGTACGATGCTACATCTTTTTTTCTGTACCTTACACTCCCTGCAGTGACTTTGCCTTTCTCCCACAGGCTTCTTTAAGCACTGTTGATCACATCTCTCTGTTAGGTCCCTTAAAGCAGAAAGAGACGAGCAAATTGTTTCTCTGCAACTGGTTAAGAACTTCACTGCTCTGTAAGACATACCTATGAATTAAACCTGCAATTTTTTCTTTGCACTTCCTCTAGAACAAAAAGTTCCCAACAAGATTAGCAGAGGCAGAACCTTTAAATCCTGTATGCCAAATCCCAACAGTTTACAAATCCTGACATAATATTTCAAATTCAAAAGGTGCTTGCTCTTCTTTGCAGAATATAATTAGAAAGGAAAGAATATGTCCTGGAGTGGCAAGGGTAGAGTGCGACTGAAAAAATCAAACAATTACAAAACCCCTCAACAAAACAGCACAAATGGCCACTAAATGACCATTTTCACTGTACCCACAACCCAATGTCCACTGTACCCCAACCTATGTACAATCAGAATGTAATATTTCCTTAAAAATCTATTTTCTACAAATTATCAAGAACAAAAGTAAACACACATTTGAAACAGTTCTTTGCAGCACATTTTTCAGTTTTATTTATAAAATCAGATGCTCCTTTAAAGTGTACAGTTAAAATCACAACTGTAAATTCAACCACTGCTGAATATTATTTCAATAGAATACCCCTACCAACCGATGTAAAAATTCATTTGATTGTGATTTAAAACTCGATTCAGCTGGAAGATAAACTTACCAACACATTACTCATTCAGCAAATATTTACCACATTGTAAAAATACACAAGGGTCCCTTCTGTTCATAGCAATACCATGAAAATATCTGCACATCAACTCATCTTTTAAAACATAATTCTGTATTTATGAATACAACAAAAAAAAATTGCCAGCGAAATCCACCAGGGGTTTCTGAACTGCTGACGCCCCCACAGGGGGTAGTAACTGCATCAGTACTGTCCTTGCATGTTTTCCTTTTGATCACCAAAAAAGTGACCTTCCAAGCAGGTCTAAACTGTCCACAACATTTTGCCAGGCAAAACAGTCACAGGAACAAAATAACAGGTGCAAATCTGGCTGCAACACTTACTCCACTGGACTTTCAGATTGGAACTGCAACTCACTTTGATCACTCCAGCACACCAAAAAGACTAAAGGTTAGTAAAACCTGAAGTAAAAACTACCAGTTCCTGAAAACTTACGGAAATGAGGTCAAAGGCTTGATAAGGCATTTCATTGCAAGACATTGTGGTTCTAAAAGGGTAAAGAGTAGCTTGGGAAACATTTGTTTTTTCAATTCTAAGCCTGGAATTGCCCTGATTTTTGGGCAAATAATTGTCTCATCATTACACAGGGCACCTCTTTATTCCTCTTATATTCTTCTCCAAAATCAAAATTTTTTCCATAACCCAGGTCTAATGTAGCCCCATACAAGAGATCCTGCACCTAAGATTTAGCCAGGATTACAAACTCGGAATTTAAAGTCCTAGGCATGTGCATTTTCATTATATACAGCCAGAGGTGTGTGGCATTCGCAGCACTTTAAAAACTCTCTGGGCTTTCTGTTGCTCGATAATTCTACTGGGCACAAATTCAGAGTAGTAGGGGGTACAAGAAGGGTTAACACCTCCAAACAAGAAATCCATGTAATACGATGAAGTTTCTACATAGAGGTCAGAATCCTGACCTCTCGTAGCAAAACCAGCACAGGATACAGCGAGTGAAGATTCCCAGATTTTACTTCTGGATTTGGTATAAACTGGGGTTATGCACCTGTGCAAGTCCTTTGTGCCTCTGACTCTTTTTATAGAACTGGGATAATAAGTCATCTTTTTGACATGTTCACAGACCTATGGATGAAAAGCATTATTCAAGTGTTAGGAACAAATTACCATTCTCCTAAACTAAGTCCCACTGTTTTACAAAATGGATGACATGTCTGCCTGCTAAGACATTGCAAATCATCTCATTTTCATACTTGGGAAATGAACAGCGAAAATAATGTACACAAAAGAGCTGGCTATTATATTTTCTTCTGGCTTAGAGTTCAAAACTGTTTTGAAGGAGACAGCTGTTCTTACCTGAAGTATTCAAATTAATCTATTTCGCTACGTCTCAAAATACATTAAAGCAATCATTTTAATTTAAGCCCAGCTAACTAGAATGGATTCTAGTGCATAAGTCTGATTTGACGGATAAGTTAATTAAGAAGCTTCCCAATCAAGAAAAAAACCTATACACAAAGCATCTTATTACATGCTGTAGAGCGAATATTTTAGGCAGTGTGATTATAAAGCAGAATACCATATTTGGAAAATGCTGTAAAAATACTACGAAAGGTATAAGACACATTTTCCCACTTGAATACATAAGCTGCTATATGTAAACACCTAAGTCTCTTATTTTAAGAGGTGTTTGAACACAAGCAGTACTGAGGATGTGTGGACCTCTGTTGATTTACAACACAAGAAAAAACAAGTTTAAGTGGAAAAAGCTGAAAAAGAAACACAGCTTAAGAATAAATAGAAAGCAATAGGTATAAACAGAGCAGGCAAACATACTGTAAAAAAAATTTAAAAAATCAAATGAACACTGCCTCAGTCAAATTAGCCTTGAAAACTTAAAATTGTGTAAAAATAACCTTCCTTCAAATAAACTTAATGAGAAAGATTGTCACTGGATTGATTTTTTAAAGTAACAGAAACCTTTAGCTAAATAGTTTTCCTTCAATGACCTGCAGGTCACAGTATTTTTAACTTAACAACTCGAAGCTCACTAGTAACTGAAACTAGAGAAATAAAAATACTTCACACAGCAGGAAAGGACGAATTACATTGAAAAAAGGGTAAATAATGTGTTACATTCTAAAACTCTGTTGAGAAGGCTAAGGTGATTAATAACACCAGGCAGAAAACCTGATTACATCCAGCTTTTGATAAACGAAGGGGAAATCAGACAAAATTTGCTGGACTTTAATGTTTGAAGAGCACTTTGAGACATCCATGAGAACAAGCTCTTTCACATACTGAAAGTGGTTACCACTTTCTGAACATCAAACTCACATTATGCACAAACTCCTTTTTCATCCATGGATTTAAACAGCTAGTGACTCCATTACAAAGAAAGAGGTTAAAACTTGTACAGGAAGTCAAAAGTGCTAAGAAATAATGAATATGCGGTTTGATGTTCCAGTTCAGCTCCACAACATGTGACTTTTCACAAAAGGAGAAGAAATGAACCTCAAACTCTTTTTGGTTTTGGCATCATCGCAACAAAAGTGAAACAGGGAAACTGCTTAAAATTTCCTATTTGCTACATTTGGATTCAACTCAACCACTCTAAATCAACAACAAAAACATTAAGATACAAACCCACCTTCCAGAGCACTAGCAACATAAGATAAAAGATTGCATGTAGCTATTTTAATTGATAACTACCTGCCTTGATAGAGAAGACTTTCCCCCCACATCTGTTTTTAAAAAGCAGATCCTGTGGAAGGAAATAACTACCACATTGATATTTCTGGGGTTTTTTTTTTGGCTGCTGTATGTAATTTAATCTCTAATGGATTTTCAAATCAGTTACCCTCAATTAATTTTATACATCTGTGTTGATAAATACAACTTTAAAATCAAAAGATGTAAACCAGCTTGGCTTCAAAACAGTCATCACAATAAATACAGGGAAAATCTTTGCTTCTTTTCTCTTCAGTTTATTTTTTTCTGCTGGGCACAAGCTGGCAAAAGGCATTTGATGCAGAATAACCTGGCCAGTTTCAGCTGCTCTTTAAAAAACCTACTGGATTCTCAAACCAGCTACAGTGATTTCAGAACCTCAGAGTACTAGGATCTTCAGTTCAGACTTTTAAATACTGAACAAAAATGAAGAGTACTCTGCTGTAGCTTGGTTTCAACACATCCAGCTTACCTGGAGAGTAAACATGCTCTGATCAGTTAGGTTCATTACCACAGGTTCTTAAACATCGCATCTTTTCAGACTCTTACTTGCCAAGTTCAAAAAAACAAGCACCCAAACAAAAAAACTTTGTATTTTCCTCATCACCGAGCAGTTAAAGGTTAGAAACATATTCCATTCTGTGTCAAGTCTATGAGGTCAGAAAGCGAAATCTTTCTCCCAGTGAAAGACTGTCTTCAGAGTCATGCCAGGAGCAGAAGGGTAATGGAGGAAGATTTAGTTTCATAGTGTGACTGCTCATGTTGGTAAGAGATGGCCATGTAGATTCACTGCTAGTATGGAGCAAAGCCAGAGGAAAAGAAAATGGGAATGACACTGA